GCCAACTGTATTGAGACCTGAGGAGGCCAGAGATCGTCCTGATAACTTCAGCCAACACGCCAGCGCTCCTTATGTGTTTTCACACATAAATTCTCATATGCACTGTTATCTTCTCCAGTTCACAGACGAGGAAACAGAGGCTCAGAGAATGGAAGTTGCTTGTCCAAGGCCACTCAGCTGCAAAGTGCTACCACTTTGGGCCTGAACCCAGATGGCTAGGTTCCAGGAAGAAGGGAAAGACTTAGCCCAGGTGACAGAGGGCAGGAAGGTGCAGCCAGCCCTAATTGGGCCTCTGTAGCTGGTGCCCGAGGGGAGGAAACTGAGAGAATCAGGTCATCCAGAGCCCACTGCAAGGTGTTGCCAGAAACCCCCATGTGCCAGCCACTCTGTTGGGTGGGTGGTTTCTCTCCTGCCTGCTCCTTCTCCATCCATTCGGGCCAAGTCCAAAGTCCTCCCTCTGCTCTTTTGCCCAGAGAGCCAGGAGGTGGGAGGAATGTCCAGAATCTGTGGGGTCCTGGGTCCCTGGACTCCAAATCTGCCAGCCTCTATCACGACAGCTGTGGTTTACTGTGTTTCTTACGTGTTGAGCCCCATGCTGGTCCCCCTGTGTGTGGTCCATGCTCCCAACAGCCACACAGAGGTGGCATCAGGATCCATGCTTGACCCAGGAGGATACTGGAACCCAGAGAAATGATGTCACTTGTACAAGATCACACAGCAAAACAAAAAGTGGCAGGAATAGATTCAAATGCAGGCCTCTGTATTTGACTCCAGAGTCTATGTCCCTAACTACAATAACTACAGTCTCCCCAAGTTAGCCCCAAGTAGAGGGCAGTTGCAGGATAAGCTGAGAAATTACTAGGGGTAGGGGGAAACTGAGGCATGAAGCCAGGAAGTCACATGAGGCAGCAGGCAGGCAGGTGGAGGCATAGGAACACAGAAAATTTGGTTAATTGTTAATCAGGTGCAGGAAGCCTCGGAAGGGCATGGGAATAAGGGGAGGGGTGCCCAGAGAGAGGGGGCTCCGAAGGGGTGGAGGGCTGAGAGGAAGGCACAGAGGGAGGGGCTCCAGGCAGAGCCAGAGTGGGGGCTTAGGGAAAGGGGCACTCACCCTCCTTCTCCGCCATGTCACGGCCTCTTGTTAATGATTCCCCCCGCTGACCTCCTGGGCCGGGGCGGGACCTGTGGGGAGATGGACTGGACGGGGAGGCAGGGCCTGGGAGGGCCTGGTGCCCCCAGTCCCCGGCGCCCATCCAGGGAAGCTGGAGAGACTGGGCCCTGGCCAGAGCATGCCGTGATCACGGATGCCGACTGGGCTGGGTTCAAGGATGGGGTCAACGTCTGACCAGCGGCCGGGGGGGACTCCTGGATTTGCCGAGCTGGGGAGCCCCTTGCTCGTGGACCTGGGGGAGGTGGGGGTTGCGGGACTAATAATATCCCTGGTCTGAGGGAAGCCAGAACTTCTGAGTCTGATGGAGGAGGGTGTGAGGAGCCTGAACTTCTGGGTCTTAGGGACGGAAGGCGATTGGGGCCAGGGCTCCTGGGTATGAAGGAGAAGAGGGCTAGGGCCTGGACTCCTCAGTCTGAGGATGGAGAAACCTGGGGACCCAATTCCTGAGTCTGAAGGGGGTGGGGACTGAAACTCCTGGATCCTGAAGGAGCCCTCTCCTGGTCTCTGGAAACCCCTCCGTTAGAAGGCATCGGGTTGGGTAGGGGGTGAAGGGACCCATGTTCTCTGAACTGAAGCTGTCAGTCAGGGGGCCCTCATGCTTACCCTGGGGTCCGGCGGGTGGGGATAGAGCTGCGTGCTGGTTCAGGTCTAAGGGTCAATCTCCTGGCCTGGGTGGGAGCATGGTGGCCCCGCAATAGCGGGTGGCCTGGGAGGCAGAGGTGGCTGCAGCGTGGGGCCTGCTAGGCCTGGCTCCTCACCTGAGGAGGAGGGGGCTGGGCAAGAGGCGGGGGAAGGGGCGGGGAGGGGCCGGACAATGGGATTGGCAGCTCAGGAAGCCACCTGGCCCTTGGGGCTGGACTTGTGGGGGCCGGACCAGCCGGGCATAGCCAACCCGACTCCAGCCTGCTGGGGGCCCAGGTGTGCCAGTCTGTGGGGCGGGGTGGGAGCACGGACTGGCTTGATCAGCCTGGGCTGAGTGCTGGGGTCTGGGGAGACAGAGGAAGCTGGGGAGGGCGTGGGGTGCTTAGAAGGACTTCAGGATGGGGATACGGATCGGAAGGAATCAAAAGGAGGGTCCTAGCTGCCTGAGGTTCACTCCCACCCCTGCCACTTCTTACCTCCTCACCAGTCCCTGCCCAGCCCAGCTTCAGCCCAGTTCCAGCCCTAACCCAGCCATGCCCAGACACTGCCCATTCCTGCAGCCCCTGCCCAGATCCCAAACCAGGCAGTAGCTGCCCCTGCTCCAAATGCAGACCTGAGCCCAACACCTGACCCCGCCCTGGACCCAGACTTCTCCCCTGCCCCTTCTGAAGGCCCTAGCCCAGCTCCTCCCCACTTTGTTCTGCTCATCTTTCCCCCTCTCCATCCCTGACCCAGCTCCCATCCCCCCAGCTGCTTTCCTACAAGTCACAGGGCCTGGTTTGCTTTGGCAGCCTCTCTGCCTCCTGCAGCAGTGACCTCTGGAGCCGGGAAAGTCCTAGAGAGGGGGGATGGGGGATTGGCTTGGAAAAGGCAGCACCAAGTGCTGAGGCCCAGGACAAGCGGCTGGAAGTGTCCAGAGGCAGATACACACTGTGCAGCCAACAGTCAAGAGCAACCCAGGTCAGACCCCAGGGCCAGATAGACATTTGCGCACACGCGGTCACCATCAGACACCTGCCTGCCTGGGGCCAGCCACTCGTTTGTACACAGATCACAGCTACTCACCCCACATGGACTGTCTACACCCAGTCGGGCCCACCCACTCACCCCTCATGTGCCCTCCGCACCAGTTGGGCCCGCCTGCTCCCTCACCATTTGTCCTTTGAGGACAGTTGACCCGCCTCCTGACCTCATACTTACCCTCTATGTACAGTCAAACCACCTGCTCAGCCCACATGTGCCCACAGTACTTAGTCAAACCCATCTGCTCACCCCAGAGACCCCCCTCACTCATGGTCTGCCCCACAGCCTCTCTCAGCAGAACACCCTGGTTTAGCCTTGGTGCTGTCCAGCCCCTCATCTCTCTCTTCCTCTCTCTTCAGTCATCTTTCTGTTTCTCTTCCTTTCTCTCCCACCTCTCTGAAGACCCACGCTGCTAATAACAAAGCAAAACTCACAAACCTCCTGCACACTGGCATCAGCCTTGCCCCTCTTCTCCTTGTAGCATCCCCAGGAGCCAACACTTCTTCAGCTCCCATTCTCACTCCTTCCCAACAGCCACCCAAGCCCCTACCGAGCTAATGACTCCCCAAGCTAACGACTCACTCAACCACCCACTGCCATCAAGTGATTCCAACTCACAGCACCCCTAGAATACAAGAGGTTTCCAAAACCAAAAAACAAACTCACTGCCATTGAGTCATATCTGTTCCCTCCTTGAGCTTCTGGGGCAGTAAGTATCACTATGGAAGTAGATTGCCCAACCTTCCTTCTGAAGAGTGGCTGCTGGATTTGAACCGCCAGCCTTCTGGTTAGCAGTCACATGCCTTAGGCACTATGCCACCAGAGCTCCCAGAGTTTCCAAGGCTATTAATCTTTGCAGAAGCAAAGCCTGAACCTAACCCACTGCCGTCCAATTGATTCTGACTCATAGCACCCCTAGAGGGCAGAGGAGAACTGCCCCATAGGGTTTCCAAGGCTATCAACCTTTACAGAAGCAAACTGCCTCATCTTTCTCACACAGAGCGGCTGGTGGGTTCAAACCACTGAACTTCTTTGGTTAGCAGCTGAATGTTTTAAAATGACTCAACCTAACCCCAATATTTAGGAGCTCTGGTAGTGTAGTCCCTAAGGCACTTGACTGGAGGTTCAAACCCATCAGCCTCTCCTTGGAAGGAAGGTTGGGCAATCTACTTCCATAGTAATATCGCCTCGGAAACCCAAGGAAGGGTCGCTATGAGTTGGGTCCGACTTGACGGCACATAACAACAACCCCAATATTAATCAGTATTCAGTGGCCCTGAGATCTGCCCCGACCTACTCCCTTGCCCACCCTGATCTCTGAGTATGTTGAGCACACAGGCTCTGAGTGCCGGGGAGGAATGGAGGGTGTCCAGAAAAACCTAAGGCTTTTGGATTTGGGAGGCGGTAGGGGGCAACTGGGCTCACCGAAGAGACTATAAGTCAAGTCCAAGAATCTTTATTTCATGAATAAAACTACTTCTGTAAAGAGACGAGGCTGAGTGGGCTCCTTTCCAAGGCGCCACAATCCAAGGCTGGTGAGAGAGGGCGGGGTGGGGGTCTGGCCGGGACAAGTGTGCATCACAGGGACAGGGGACCCCAGGTCCAGCCGGAGGAAGCAGATGGGGTAATGTTGCTGGAGGTCAGAGTGGGTCCCAGAACCCCCTGCCCCAAAGTATTCCAGGCCATCACAACCCCACTGGGCAGGGTCGGGGCAGGGAGGGGCTGGGCCCCGTAGTGCGTGTCTGAAGCGGCCAATATGTGCAAATTAGCAAAAGGAGGGGTGTGGAGCCTCTGCACCTGCCTCACCGCCCCCCCGCAAACAGGCAGCAGAAGCAGGGTGGGGGCAGTGGCAGTATTGCTTTACCCATCATGCATGGCGGTGGTTGGGCGATGGGGACAGGTGGAGGAAGGCTGAAATAGGGGTACGAGCCAAGCCCCCTGCCCCCCTCCCACCCTGGCGGCTCTGTTGGCAGGACTCTGAGGCTTGTGGAGGCCCAGGAATGGCCAACCCCCATTAGGGGGCAAGCTGTGCCTGGATGTTCCCCATTAGGGCTGGCTCTTCTTTGAGGTGAAGCCCAGGGCCTAAAGGTGAGGCAGAGACAGGGAATTAGGGACCTTCTGGGCTGAAACCCTCCCAGAGCCCTCCAGCCCCACCTTACCAGAGCTATTCAGCCACCTGGACGCCTGTACAGTTCTCTTTGCTTTCTGAGGTGATGGCCAGGTATTCCGAGCTGTGGGGACAAAGGCCAGGTGTACAGTGACCCCCTCATCACTCTGTCCCAACCCCCAGGAGACCAAGGAGGGCGGAGGTCTGTGCCCCAGTGCACAGGGCTCCTGACCTATAGGGAAGAGGGGGCTGCAGGCTAGACTCAGGAAAATCTGCAAGAAGCGGGGCTAAGAGTCTGAGGGAGGAAGGGCTAGGACCCGACGACCACCTTACCCCACCTCAGACGACAAACACTCCCCCATGGGGAGGACTGACAGCTAGCAGCTTGGTTCATCCCCGCTGGGCCTCCCGCGCTGCGCCCAGTCAGCCCATGCTCCCTTCGGGGCAGCCTGCAGGCGTGCTGGCTCAGCCCTCCCCTCCCGCGGCCCCACTCACGCGTTCTCCTGGGCAGCAGCCTCAGTGGCAGCGGCAATCTTCTTGTAGCAGTAAACCATCTCTGCCACGAGCCATATGGTCAACACCACAATGAGCACGTACATCATGATCTCGGACACAATGGACGCCATATCTCTGTTGGCTGCAGGGGCCAGGCAGGGTTAAGGCAGTGGCCAAGTCCCCGGCCAAGGAGGCACTTGTGGCCTGAGTGTGCCACAAGCTTGCTGTGTGAGTTTAGGTAAGTAGCTTGACCTCCCTGGGCCTGGTCTGCAAATGGGAATAATCATGCTGCCTCTCTAGAAGGCTGGGAGGACGCAGGGAGGCAGCGCTGGGATGCATGGACACCTGGGGCCTGGCACACAGTAGGCACTCGGCGTTGCTGTCATCATCGTTGCCGTGGTTATTACTGACAGCTTCCAACAGGCCTCAGATCCCTCTCAATCTACCTCCTTGTGTAACGTGAGGGTCAGGGGTACATCTATAGCTCCGCAACCAGAGGTCCAGGCTCAAATCCTGGTTTTGCCACTTGGTAGCTGTGTGACCTTAGGCAAGTGACTTAACCTCTCTGGGCCTCAGTTTTCCCATCTGTGAAAAGCTGATAATCACAATAGCGCCTTCATGGGACTGCTTTGAGAACAGTAGTTGACATATCATTGTTGCTGACTGTTGTCGAGTTGATTCCAGCTCATGGTGACCCACAGACACGGCCCCATAGAGTTACCTAGGCTGTAATCTTTACGGGACTAGATAGCCAGGTCTTTTCTCCCACAGAAAGGCTGGTGAGTTCAAAGCACTGACCTTTCGGAGGGCTTCTTGGTGTATAATTTGTACTTAACACATATTTTATGTTATTAATATTATCATTGGAGCAGCACACTTTAGTGGTTAAGCATAGAGGCTCTGGGGCCAGATTGCCAGGGTCTGAATCCTGGCTCTGCTGCTTCCTGGCTGTGTGATGTTAGGTGAATAACTCTACCTCTCTGGGCCTTGACTCTCCCTCTGTAAAATGGGGATGGTACTACTCATGATCCCTCACAGAGCTGCCAGGAAGAAGGAAGGAGTTAGCATCCTCTGAGCTTGGATGGGTCAGTGCTACCTAAGGGCTGGCTGTGTCCCGAGGCTCCCAGGAAACCCTCCACCGTTCCCAGAACACTGGCCCTCGCCATTGCTAGCTTCCCTCCATCGAGTCTAAGTTTAAATCATGACGGGAGCAGTCAGTCAAGGGCAGAGTTGACAGCCACCTTGGCATCCTCGGCCGGATTTCACAGGTGTCCATGCCATATCCCTGGCCCCTCCCCCTGGGTGGCCAGCATCTCATGTTCCCTGCTGTCCTCCTGTGGTCTCCTCTCCAGTAAGCAGGGCCCTTCCTGCCACTCCACCCTGTCTGTGCAAATGGCACGAATGCTTTGTGGCCGGAGTGAGGGACGGTATAGGGCTGGGTCCTTGCCCCTGCTTCCCTGCAGGAAAACCTGCGCATAAGGTTTCACACCTCATTCCCTCACTCACTCGTTTGTTCATTCAACAAACATTATTAACGCTTCTCATACAGGGAGTACGTAGTCTCAGGTAGGCCCTGTGCCAAATTCTTTATCTGAACTTGTCCTCGACCCCTTGAAACAACTCCAAAGGATAGAGATCGTCCTACTTTTTTTACTGGCCATCTGACCTCAGGAACCATACCGAGTCAGATACATGTTGGTTAAAGCTCATGTCATCGGAATCCTTGCCTCCGCTCCGGAACTCAACGCCCACATGGATTTAGGTAACATGCTATCTTCTGCTCTCCGACCTTGCCCTTGGACTCCTGCTCTCCCAATTAGACCAGGATAGTGAGAGAGGTAGGCAGGTAGCCCACTGACACAGGAGGCCCAGAGAGGGGAAGGTGCTGGGCCCAGGACACACAGGTAGACTTGGAGCTAGGACTTAACCCCAAGTGTGATGGAGTGAAGATTCTGAACTCTTATTTGCTCTGTAAACTTGCCACAACCAAAGAAACACTTGGTGCTTTTTACTGTGTATTGAGTGCAGTCTCCACCAACTCACATAGGTAACTCAGAAAGTGGGGACTGATCCCCCCACCCCACCCTTTACAGATGAGGAGCTGAGGCAGAGAGGAAGCCTCTCACAGGTTCCCCCATGGGTCAGAGGAGACCTCTGAGGAGACCCTTGACTCCTTCATTATCTTCCTGAAGAGTTTCACCTGCCTTGCCCACATGACAGCATCCAAGGCCCGGCCGTCACCTCCTGCCCAAACTGCTAGATTTCTCCCCAGTCTTTGCCACTGCTTCTCCTCAAGGTGTTTCTTGCTCCTACTGACTATGTCCCAAACACAATCAACTTCTTCCCATTCACCTGCCCCTACCTACTCCCAGCAAGGGACTCCCAGGTGTGTGCCATCAACCTGTACACCCCTCCCAGGCCAGTCAAGTTCTCCCCACCCAGGCCCATCTGCCCCTTTGGAAATGACTCTGTTCATGCTTTGGGAGTTATTACCAGGAGGCGACATCGGTTAGTGGGCAATGTTGAAAATGCAGTAAGATAAAAACTAAACGCACTGCTGTCGAGTCGCATCCGACTCAGTGGGTAATAAAAAAATATTATGGTGTGGTGAGCAATTTAACAATGTAATAGTATTGTGGGTAATAAATAAACTACTTTAGTGTGATGAGTCATGTTAAAATTAATTTAATATGGTGGTAATGATAAAAATATTACAGTATGGTAAGTAGTATTTTAAAATAATTATGGTGGATTCTAGTTTAAAATATTACAGCATGGTAATGACAAAAATATGGTGTCTGGTGAGTAATATCAAAAATACTCACATATGGTGGATTATGATAAAAATGTTGTATGTTTGATGCTAAAATACTACAGTATAGTATAAAAGTAGGAGCTCTGGTGGCGTAGTGCCTAAAGCACTTGACTGCTAACCAGAAGGGTGGCGTTTCAAACCCACCAGCCACTCCTCGGAAGGAAGACCAGGCAATCTACTTCCATAGAGATACTGCCTCAGAAACCCCAGGAGGGGTCGCTATGAGTTGAAATCGACTCAGTGGCAGTGAGTTTGGTTGTTCTGGTTAGTATAAAAGTGGATAGTGGTAGTATGGCAATACTATAACCTGGTGAATAAAAAGTACTAGAGCATCATGGTGGATGATGCTGAAAACAAAGACTCCGGGAAGCAACAGAAGGCCCCTGAGTGGTGCAGATGGTTTGTGTGGACTACTAAGTGTAGGCTGGTGGTTCGCATCTACCCGGTGGCACCGTGGAAGAAAGGCCTGGTGACCTAGTTCCATTAACAGCACAGCTACTGAAAGCCCTACAGCATGGTTTACTCTGAAATACATGAGATCGCCACGCACTGGACCTGACAGCAGCAGGTCGGGTCAGGAAGCAATAGAGAATAACAGTGGACCACGTACAGAGCTCTGTTGCCACAAACACTTATAAACACAGACCTAGGAGGTAGTGTATTGTTAGTTGCCCTAGTCTCAATTTCAACTCATGGCCACCTCCTGTGTGCAGAGCAGAACTATAGGGCTTTCAAGGCTGTGACTGTGGAAGTGGACAGCCAAGGCTTTCTTCCAAGGCATCTCTGGGTGAGTTTGAACCGCCAACCTTTCAGCCAGGAGTTGAGTGTTTAACTATCTGTTCACCCAGGGACTTCTGGAAGGTAGTTAAATTTTTATAAAAAAAAACCCAACACCATCTAGTCAGTTCTGACTCACAGCGACCCCTACTAGATTTCCATGCCTATAAATCTTTACAGGAATAGACTGTATCATCTTCCTCCCACAGAACAGCTGGTGAGGGGTTTGAACTGCTGACCTCTGGTTAACAGTCAAATGCCCTACTCACTATGCCACTAGAGCTCCTCAGGAAGTAGGATAATATGGTAAATAATATTAAGAATAAATAAAAAAAAAAAACAACAGAGGCTCTACTGGGACACAGGCGTGCTCAGCCCCAGCCTCCACCACGCAAATGAAGACAACATCCTGAGCCAGGGCTGAGTAGCAAGATGACAAGCAACTGAGTGACTGAGGGTGTCCCATAGCCTCCTGCCCTCTCGACCCTTCTCCTCAGACCCAGTTCCTGAAAGAGAAATAACACAGACTGTGTTAAGCCACGATATTTGAGCTCTGGTGGAGTAATGCCTAAGGCATTTGACTACTAACCAGAAGGCTGGTGGTTCAAACACACCAGCAACTCCTCAGAAGGAAGACTGGGCAATCTATTTCTGTAGAGATGATGTTGTTGTTATTTGCCATTGAGTCGGACCTGACTCATAGCAACCCCTCCTTGGGTTTCCGAGGCAGTATTACTACGGAAGTAGATTGCCCGACCTTCCTTCCG